AGGGGTTCCCTCCTTCCCCTGGGTGGGTGCAGGGCTTCCCTCCTTCCCCTGGGGGGGGTGCAGGGGTTCCCTCCTTGCCCTGGGGGGGTGCAGGGGTTCCCTCCTTGCCCTGGGTGAGTGCAGGGGTTCTCTCCTTGCCCTGGGTGGGTACAAGGGTTCTCGCCTTCCCCTGGGTGGGTACAGGGGTTCCCTTCTTCCCCCCTAGTCGTGGGGGTGTAGGGGTTCCCTCCTGTGGTGGTTATGTTTTTGTGTTAACTTGGCTGGGCCTGCTTTAGTGGCTGGGGAGCTGGTGGTACCTATTCCCCATGATGAGACTGGCAGTCAACTCCATGGTGGGATCTACCACAGGCAGCTGAGTAGCTGCCTTTGGGATGTGGTCTGCTTCCTGTATTTAAGGAGACGCTTTGAGAATGGTCTCTAGCCTTTGGCACGCTTGGACCCTGCATGTAGCCGTGTCGTTGCTCAGCAGCCTGCCATGCTCTGCCGACCTTGGGACTTACAGTGGACTTAACTTAATGGCCTGCTGTGTGGTTTGGTAACATCGGGACTGTGCCTTTTTACTTGTCAACCTTGGGGCTTCTCAGCCTCAGCAGCCAGCAGCTGTCTGAGTGAAGAAACGCGTCTAGCTCCAGTGGGCCAGGAGCAGGAGGCAGAGCTGGACCCCAATTGAGGGGCTTTCACCCAGCCCCTAGAGCCTGGCACTTGACCTTGGTTGGACTTAAAGCCTCCAAATTGTAAGAATAAACTCCTGTTTGTTAAGACCATCCATTTGTGATACATTCCTGTCAGAGCAGCACTAGGTAACCAGAACACCTCCTTCCCCCCCAGTGGTGGAGGTGTAGGGGTTCCCTTCCTCCCCCCATTCATGGGGGTGTAGGGGTTTCCTCCTTCCTTCCCAGTCGTGAGGGTGCAGGGGTTCTCTCCTTCCCCTGGATGGGTACAGGGGTGTAGAGATTTCCTCCTCCCTGGGCCAGGGGCAGGGTGGGCTCCAGTCTCTGTGCACCAGCGCAGACAGCCTTGCAGCCGACCCTGCCCATAGGCACACCCCTCCGCCACCTCACGGTCCCCTCGTCCACCCTTGGAAGTTGGGCTGCACCCACTTTTCCTTCCTCGGCACCCTCTTCCTCAGCTTCTGGGAGTTCCCTGGGAACCTCTTGAGTTAGCTCAGACTCCTGGGGGCTGTTCCAGGTGGAGCGGCGTGCGTCTCAGCATCTTTATGTTTTCAGAACAGAGTCGGGTGGGCCGGAACAAGGGAAATCCCAGGGTGATGGCGTTTGCTAAGATGGAGGCTGCTCAGGTGGTGGGGACGGGCTGGCGACCGGCAGTGAACAGGTGCCCCCTTCTGGGAGGCAGGCTCCTGGTTTCTGCTGAAAGCTGGGCTGCATCGTAGCGCCATAGCAACACACGAGCCGCCTGGCACAGATAGCTTGGGAGCTGGGTTGGCTGGGAGTTAAAGCAGAATTCTACCTCTGAACCACCTCGTCTCCTATTGGGGAGCTCTGGTGGCATAGTGCCTAAGGCACTTGACTGCTAAGCAGAAGGCCGGCAGTTCAAACCCACCAGCCACTGCTCGCAAGGAAGATTGGGCAGCGTACTTCCATAGAGATTCCGCCTCGGAAACCCAAGGAGGGGTCACTGTGGGTCAGATCTGACTCGACGGCAGTGAGTTTAGTTTGGGTTTTTGGTCTATTAAATGCGAGGGAAGGTGGTGTGGGCCAGTTCACAGCTTGAGTTTCATAATGGTTTGGGAGACGCTACTGGGCACCTACAGCTTGTTTCAGCGTCAGGGTGAAGAGCCAGCTTTTCCTGGGGCTGCTCACTCCTTGGCAGCATCATTGAAGTCCTTTGCGCTAAGAGTGACATCGAGCAAGGTCTAGGGTGTTTGTCTGTCTTTGGGGTCTGTGCCACCACTAGCATTAGGCCTCATTCCTTGGGTTTTTGTGGGGCAGCTACTCGGGATGTCCCTTCACAGCACTCCATTTTCTCTGTCCTTAGTATCATTTGCAGCTGCTCATTCCAGCCGTCCCATGTTGTCCTTCAGAATCCCAGGGACTCACGGGTCTTCCAGTGATTTTGAACTGTCTTCCTAAAGTCAGGCTGTGCCGCATTGGGCAGACCAGCCTCCTAGCTCTTGGAATCACACAGTTGCTTTCTCCTGAGGTTACTGATGCTTCCCCTGCTTGCTCCCTCCTTAGGAGAATCACGTTCAGTAACAGTTTCCTAGCTGATTTCCCTGGTCGCTAAAAGGCAGGATTCTCCACAAGGACCGCCTGAGACGTAGGGGTGGGGCTGCTTGTGGGAGGCAGCCTGTTAAAGGCCATGTGTCGGGATGTCCTGATGTGCAGAAGCTGACTCTGTAGCTGGGGGCACGTTCCTTTGTGGATCTGGGGCTCCGCTGTAGGATGCAGGCTCCCCGGCAGGGGGCGCTGTGGCCTTCAGCACTGGATCCCGCGTCTACTGTGCCTGGGGCCAGAGCTTTGCCCTGGGTCGGAGCAGCAGCAGGGATGGTGTCAGCACGACTTGGTGGGCCTTGGCTGAAGCCCTGGTTCTTGTGCACACCAGTACCGAGGACAGTGGGAGCAGATCAGGGACAGAGAGGCCAATTGAGTGGCTGAGGCCATGTGCCAGACTCAGCTTGCCAAGCCCTGACTCTCCTGGGCGTGTTTGGTGAGGTGTTAAAGAACTCCCTCAAGCCTTTGCTGCTAATGCAGGAAGACAGTAATCCAAACTGCATAGGCTGGCAAACCTCCGGGTGCTGATATAACACTGCCCACACCTCCCTGCCAACCATGGTGGCCACCCAGAGCTCTCTGCCTGGCCAAAGACTTTGTCACACATGGCAAGTGAAAGGGCTAGAACTCCAGCCCAGGCCGTCCGGCCCTCCCGCCGAACCCCGGAGACACCTGGGCCGTCTGCCTGGGAAGCCAGCTCTCTGAGCTCTCTGCTCCCTGGTGGTCTCTGGCTCCAGGATCGGCTTGCGGGGCCGTAGGCTTGAGGGCTGGGCTGTAGCACTGGTGCTCTGGTGGGCCTTCATTGTGGTCTGTTTGCCCTGCAGGTAACACCAAGCTGAAAACCGTGCAGGGTGTGGTGACCAGGTACTGCAGCGACTATGGCATGATCAACGATCTGATCTACTTCTCCAATGACGTGGTCACTGGGAAGGTGCTCCTCAGTGTCGGACAGGAGGTTATCGCGGTGGTGGAAGAAAACAGAGTGTCCAGCGGGCTGAAGGCCGTCCGGGTGAGCCTGCTGTCAGGGATAGGCCTTCACTGCAGCCGTCACTTTGCTGTTGTCATGTCCAGCTCACCTCTCAGAGCCATGGCGCTGGGGGCATGCAGTGAGCTTATAGTCCTGTGCACGGGGCTGGGGGTGCTTTGGGGTCTGTCTTTATAGTGGCTTATTGTCTTTATGTTTCCAAACTTCAGGGGCGGTCACTTTCATGTAATTCTAGAAATTCGTAACTCAGGATGTAGAAATCTCTGTTTAAACGTAAGTGCGTTTGTGCACGAATATCAATGACGGAATCTGTCAGTCAGAGTGAAGGTCGCCCGTACTTTTATGCCATGGGGAAGAACACTGAATGGTCCTGCATCTTTCCTTCAAGTGTTTCTAAAGAACTGTTGTATAAAATGAGCATTATTGGATAACTATCAGAAGGAAGATGGGGCAATCTACTTCCGTAGTGATACTGCCTCGGAAACCCGGGGAGGGTCGCTATGAGTCAGGTCCGACTCGACGGCACATAGCAACAACAACAACATTGCGTTATCGGACTAGCAAAGCGCATCAGAGGCCCCTTCCTTTTCTCGTGAAGGTGGTGTTCTGTAGTTGCTGGGTCTGAGGGGTGCGCTCTTAGTGCCGCAGCAGCCATCATCCCGTGAGCCTCCAGCACCATCGCAGCGCTGATCCTCTGGGAGCAGGAGGTGAGGCTGCCTGCGACGCAGGGTCAGGGAGGGTATGGACAGGATCAGGCTGTGACATGGCCAGCCTTAGTAAGTGAAACGTGGCCTTGTTGCAGCAGTGGGAAGACTTACATGCAGAACACCCAACCCAGGGCGATGTACCCACCTGCTCGACAGAGATACACCCCTTGGAGCCAGAGGTCATGGGGCACCAGAGGGGCAGCATTCACGTGGAAGGAAAGCTGGACAGACAGGAGTGCTTCACTAAGAAGGACACAGGGAGGGGGCATCACAGGGCAGGTGGGGTGAGTGGGTGAAGGTTGGGGATGGTAATCGGTGAGTGAAACCAAATGTGCACGTACCATTGAATGTCAAACAAATTCTCTCTAAATTTGCACCCAAAGCACAATAAAAAAAAATCAGATAATTTATATTTCATAAATAAAGCTAACTTGAAATTAAAAAAAAAAAAAAAATCCTTAGAATCTAGTCAGTGCATGTTGCTATCGCTGCTGGAATCCCAGAGCGGCAGCATCTCCAATGTGCCTGAACTGAGAACTCTCCTCTCCTCTGGACATCAGCATCATGCCTGCCTCCCTAAAAATTCTAAGACTAGTTAACTTAGATTTAACACCTCATTGTTTCTATTTGGGGATAATTTTCATATAATTAGGATTGTTTCTGTGGTTTTACTCCTTTATCACCACCCACTTCCATCTGCAGTAGAAAGGTATGGACAGTCACCTTGCAGATCAACAAAACCTAGCTTATGTGTCCCCTAGCTCGACTGAGCTGTACATGGTTCTTCCACCCCAGGCCCCAGACCTTCAGCCACTTGCTTAAGGGACAGCCTAGTCAGCTGCTCCATCCTCGTTGGTAACACACCCCAGAGATGCAGGGGAGTTAATGACACCTGCAGTAAAGTTGATCCAGTGAGAACAGAGGTGGGAAGTTCAGTGGATCAATTTCTTGTCCTTCCTTCTGCCAAGCCTGTTGTGAGCTGTCTTGGTTGCATTGGGCCTGGAGACAAAGCATGATGTAGCCACTTCTCTCCATGTTCAGTGTTGCCCCTCCTTGCCTGCCTTCCCTTTCTTCCTTTGCTCTTGCTGCCAAGAGAGGACTCTGCCACTCCCCATCAAAAGTGTTCGTTGTGTTCCCTCAGATGTTTTGTTTTCTGGGAAAACTTGGGCCGAGACAGTCACATAGCTGCCAGGAGCTCTATTCAGACCATCTTCTCTGGATCAGTGTGTCTTCTAAAAAACTATCCCCCCCTCAAAAAAAAGAAGAAAGAGAAGTGGCCTGGTAATTTTAATTTGCATTTCAGTGTTAAAGTAACTTTCACATTTCTTTTCTTTTGAATTATTTTCATCTGCTTCGTCCATTTTTTGTCATGTTCAGCTTTTTCTTTCTGCGTTCTCAGAGATGAGGAAATCGGAGCTTTTTACGGAGCTCCTTTGGTGGGAGCATTGCAGGTGTTCTCCCAAGGCCACCTTTTGACTGTCTTGTAGAGCTGCGTCATGTGCAGCTTATAGGTCTCACGCTTGTTCTTTCCATGTGCTTTGAGCTCTGTAGGAACCTTGGAGGGGCTCTGTAGTTAAGGGTGTTTACCCAGGTTTCCCCTGACACTTAGTTGTTCTTGATGTTTAAGTGTTTAACCTGCCTAGAGTTTCTGTTTCTTTGCTATTCATAAGGTTTTCCCTGGCCAATTCTTTGAGAAGTGGACGGCCTCTTCCTTCTTCCTAGTCTGTCTCAGT